TGGAGCTGAACCCAGAAGGATATTTCTTTCAACACTACTACTAGATAAAGTAGAAAAATGTGGGTTAGACAGCATCACCACCAGATGGATTCGTAACTGGCTGACCAACCACACTCAATGTGCAGTTGATGTAGTCCTCAGTGGAACTGCATTGACATGGAGGGAAGTGCACAGTGGGGTACCCCAAGGCTCTGTTTTAGGCCTAGTATTCTTCAACATCTTCATTAATGATTTGGACAGGGGGATAGAGGGAGAACTCAACAAATTTGCAGACAACACTAAACTAGCAGGAATAGCAACACTCCAGAAGGATCTTGACAAATTTGAACCTTGGCCGCTATTTAACAAAATGAAATTCAGTGGTGAAAAAAGTAAGATTCTACATTTAGGCAAGATAAATGAAATGCACAGGTATAGTATAGGTGGTATCTCTCTCAATAGTAGTAACAGTGAAAGGGATCTTGGAGTTCTAGTGGACAACCATTTAAATATGAGCCAGCAGTGTGTAACAGCGGCCAAAAAAGCCAACACAGATCTAGGCTACATAAACAGAATGATAGAATCAAGATGACGTGGTTAATACCACTTGATAATGCCTTGGTACGGCCACACTTGGAATACTGCATTCACTTTTGGTTGCCACAATGTAGAAAAGATGTGGAGACTCTAGAAAGAGCGCAGAAAAGAGTAACAAAGATGATTTGGGGCCTGGAGGCTAAAAGAAATGAAGAACAATTGCAGGAACTGGGTATGTCTAGTTTAATGAAGAGGAGGACTAGGGGAGACATGATAGCAGTGTTCCAATATCTCAGGGATTGCCTCAAAGAAGAGGGAGTCAAGCTATTCTCCAAAGCTCCTGAGGGCAGAACAAGAAGAAATGGGTGGAAACTAATCAAGGAGAGAAGTAATTTAGAACTGAGGAGAAATTTCCTGACAGTTGGAACAATTAATCAGTGGAACCTTTCTCCAGAATTTGTGAATGCTCCAACACTGGAAGTTTTTAAGAAGATGTTGAATAACCATTTGTCTGAAATTGTACAGAGTTTCCTGCCTAAGCAGACTGTTGGACTAGAAGACACAGGTCAAACTGTTATGCTATTCAGAAAAGAACAGAAGAAGGGGAAATTAATGCAGAATGTAGAGCAATGAAAAGTTGGAATTCAATTTTTATATTCAAAATACAGTATATCTATTGTCAGAACAGATATATGATTCCTACAATTGTAAAACTGATTCTTAACTATTATGGAGAGCTGTGTAATGGAAAATAAGTACCTGCCATGCCTTCAGCATGGGAGTTTTCAACTTTTTACCACCTTTAGATATCCTACTGGATCTGGATAAATAAGCTGCATTTAAGGCCCGTGCCACAGCCCAGATTGTGTTGTAAATGAAATAGTTGTCCAGAGTCAGGATGGGATCCATCTCCTCTTTCCTCCGGGCCTCCAGTTCTTCTCTCTGCCTGCACTGTCTCCAGACTTTCACTGAAAAGTCATCATTGGAGTAGGACCACAGGAAGGAGATCTCTACAAAGTGTCTCATAAAAGAATAAAACTTGGAAAACCCGCCATACTTTGCCATTTGATTTTTCTTCACAGGAAAGGAAAATATGCTATGGATGTATTGAACAAGAATTGTGTCTTTTGATAAATAAATAGTGAAGTCCCAGCGGATCGTGGTGATCAGAAGTTTTCCTCTAGGAGGCTCAGCAAGATCTTCAAATATATGATGCAAAAGTTTAACACCTGAATTGAATGTAGAGAAATCTGCACCATAAATAAAGACCTTCATCTTTCTCCAACTGAGGTATAAATCCCAGTCTATTTCCGCATTCCAAGAAACTGGAGAAAAGGTTTGTGATAAAACTGGACAGATGCCATTCCTGACCAGCATGGAAGTCAACATCCTCATGAACGTTTCTCCATTCTCAGTGTCTGTAGTAAAGAGACCCACCAAGGTCCACCTGAAATGGAGGAGCAGCTTCACTATCCCTGGGTACAGGACTTTTTCACCAGGGAGCATTGGGTAGAAGAAAGGATTTTCATCACTCAGAACCTGGGAATCAAAACTGTGACTGATCTGAAAAGGAAAAAAAAAAAACTCTTTTTGGGGGGACCATAAAAAGAAAATCTAGCCCTAATGGAGGAATTATTCCACTCCTTGCAATGAAGAACGTTTTATAGGGAGTCTATAGTTATTCTGCTCTTACATTGTTTATATTCTCACTTTGGTCTGCTGCAAATAGCCAGCAGAAATCTGTTTTACAAGTGTGCCAGGCAGAGGATTCTCTGCTTGGCTCCTTCTCTCCCATTTGATAGAACCATCCGCCTTACTTCATGCAATTCCCACAATAGAACTTTGCTCTGATGTCTGGTTGTAAGTTGCATGTCTACAAATGGTCTTCCCAACAAAGACACACCTGTGGGATTTTGTAGGGTCCCAACATGGTCGAAATCTGGATGGAGATGTCAGTGTCAGCCCCTTCCAGAACAGCCACAATGTTTCTCTGCCTTCCACAGCTGTAGTTGGGAACGTTGGCCTCCCCCTCTGAAAGCAGGTCCAGCAAAGCCTCCGAGGTCATTTCTGCTCTGAAATAATTGTCATAGATGTTGTATCCCAGGGTGACATTGAGCAAAATGTTGGGGTCCTTGTTGATAGCTTGGATTGCGAAAAGGAAGGATAGCATTTTCCACCACTCTGATGATCCTTTCCTGAAAGTAAGAATGTTTCAGAACATAATCAATGGAAGCACCACGTCATTTAACTGTTCTTTCAGCAATTGTATTCATAATTCATCTAAGGTTTGGAGATATTTTATTATATATTTTATATCTGACTAATTAGCCATCAATAGACATATAGACATTAAGAATATGTAGAGACTATGCAAAAGAGACAATCAATTAGCCAAAAAGGGGAAAGACTCCAGCACCTCTCTACCAGCAATCAACACCAGATCAGCATAAATATATAATATAATACAATAGCAGAGTTGGAAGGAATCTTGGAGGTCTTCTAGAGCAACCCTCTGCCTAAGCAGGAAACTCTATATTGTTTCAGACAAATTGTTATCCAACATCTTCTTAAAGACTTCCAGTGTTGGGGCATTCACAACTTCTGGAGGCAACTTCTGTTCCACTGATTAATTGTCCTAACTGTCAGGGTTATATTTCAAAATAAACATCAGGCCAACAATCAAGGAAACAATACCCCAATCACGAAACTGCCAAAGAAGCCAACAGCAACCTCCAACCCCCAATACTAACAGGCAAGACACTAGAATATAAACTAACAGCAAACCACGCTCCTCACTAGCACTGATGATGTTACTTAGTTTGGGTAATGAAACCTCTGCAAGAAAACAGGCAAGAGCAAGAACCTCTTATTATATATTTGTTGGTGCGGGTTTTTTTTTTCAGATTTCCAAAAAACATTGCGATTCTCTCAATTTTTGTTTCATTTTTGGATACTGAATGCATAGTATGTCTGAAGTAATCTAGTTATTCTCTTTTTTAAATTTATATTGATTAATAATTTTTACATAAGATAAAAAACATTAATCAAAAGATAACTATGGAGATTCTCAGTCATACAGGTCAATTTTGAAAAAGTACCTTTGGGATTAATCAAAAGATAAAAAGGAAAGAGAGAGAGAAAGGAAGAAAAGGTGCAAGAAATGAAAAAGGGGGGGGGGAGACCCAACTTACAACCTTCTTTTCAACAGATATGTTTTTTTCATTTTTGCAAATTCTGATATTTTTCTAAATCTAGTCCTCCCCTGTAGAGATTCCATGATTCTTCCATCGTTCTGCATACAATAATCTTGCTGCATTTACCATATATAAAATCCATTTACTTTGAATCTTTTCTAGTTCATTCCTAATTGTCCCAATTAAAATATTCTTGCTTGTTCACAATCTTAGTCTTTCAAATTCTTTGCATTTTTGTGTCAATTTCTATCTAAAATTTCTTAGTCTTCTCATAAATCTGCTCTGCATGAAAAAGTGTTCCTCCATGCTTTTCACTATTCGTGCATTGGTTTGAAATACGTTTACACATTTTTTTTAAGTTTCTCTGGTGTCGTATACCAAGAATACATTATTTTATTAAAAACAAATTCTTAAATTATGACACAGTGTAAACTGAATACCAGTTAGACAAACTCTCTCCATCCCTATTTTATTTCCAATTTAATAGTGCATTCAGTCATGCAAATTTAACCTATTCATCTTCTGTTTCAAATCCCTAAAACTTTATATATTTTTGTTATTACATGTTCATCATTTATACATAGCTCAGTTTTAAATTCTGTTGTTCATAAATTCAGGTTCATAAACTGAAAAGAAGAAAAGGATGAAGTGAGACCCAAAGAGAGAAAAACTGGCAGATCAATGAGATTGCTCAGGGTAAGAGAGGCGGCTGGAACTTTAGAACAGAGGGTTGAGTGGAGAGGTTCTAATTCTACACGGGAACTTTGACGTACTCAACAAATTGAGTCAAAGGAGGTTTGTTGAAGCTTAATGGTAGCAATCGCATCCTCGTTGCAGAGACAATGCCACCAATGAGAAACTCTCCTGGCTTATAATTTTTCAGTGGGTGCACCTCCTCCCTCATTGGAGTCAGGATGCATTTGCCTGTGAGACTCGCCAAAATGTCCTGGGGTAACAGAAGCAGCAGAAGCAGCAACATGACTTGTGTTTCTGATGGAGTCTCCAGACATGCTTTGAAGACAGAGCGATGTGAAGAACTGGAAGGAACCAAAGTTCTCTTCCAAGACAGACGCTCCAGAGATCTCCTAATCCTGACAGAGTCCAGCCAAGGCTTCAGTTATGAAGGGGCAAAGAGTAAATGCAGCCTTGCCTGTCACAAAAGCTTCTTGGATTCTCTTTTTCTCCAGAACCTTTTATGCCCCCAAGATTTTTCAGTGCAAAATCATTTGCCAACAAGGCTTTGATGTGATATCAGGGTGAAAGCATGTTATGGCTGCGTTTGTGTGACATCTGAAAGCTTTAGAGATTTAGCCCCAAGGGAACAAATAAATCACTATGATTTGGATCATAGCAACAAGGAGAGTCATCACTTCTCTAACTTCTCAGTCAGTCAACAGGCAAGTGCTCTAATAGATGGGGTGAAACGCTGAAGATGAGCCAAGGAGTGGGAGAGAAGTTACTCCCACATGTCTCTTAGAAAATCTCATGATACTTTCCATCCTTCAAAGAGGATTTCAGCATGAGCCTAAAATGTCCATCCTCAATATGGATATGTTGATCCTAATTTGTGGGGGGCCTTGGCTGCTTTTGTTGAGAGATTCAGATAATGAACATATGTTTGCCCCACTAATGTTTAAACTCGGTTACTGATGATTGACCCACCAACTATGCTCTCAATCAATTGCTGTAAAAATCCTGGACACAGGGTAAAAGTTGTCTAACATGGTTGGATCCATGGAGAGCCCCTTGAGAAGGCTTGCAACACTGCCTACTTCAGGGGAGATTATACAGACCCTTCCAGTTAAAACTCATTGACTACCCTGGATTAGGGAGTATCTCCAAGCTGCAAAGACTTCTAGAAACCCCTGAAAATATGATTCTATCAATAGCCCTGGGAATCACCTGGTAACAGAGCCGTACATACTGGTTGCATAGTTGGTAGCATCTTGATGAGTTCCTCTTTTACTTTCTTAGTGTTTATTTCTCATTGTTTTAATTTTTAATTATTGCTTTAATTTTATGCCAACAAGAGTCACTTTCTGTGAAATAGACAGCTGTTGTGGCCCAGCAGGATCCGGTTGAGCTGCTGATGGACTCAGATAGTGAGGAACCATATGAGTCTGCCATGGAAGATGTGGAGGACCCTGGGCAGAGTTCAGACTCAGAGCAGGGACCAGAGAGACTGGTTGGCCACTAGGAGGTGCCTGAGGCATGGAGCAGGGGGAAGATCAGAGGCAGTTTGTCCCTGATGCTAGAGTGCGTACAGCTGAGAAACGGAAGAAGCAACTCTGTAAGCAGCCTCATAGATAATAATTATGCACAGGTGGTTGTGCCTGGGCCCCTCCCAAGAGGGTTTATAAGGAAGGGCATTGGGAGGGGACATTTGCAGGAAACAACCCTTTGAACTATTATTGAAGAAATCTGTGTTCTAGCCAATTGTTGATGCAGAGATGATTATACCAATGAGAAAATCTCCTGGCCTATAATAGCTCCATGGCTTTTCTCCATCCTGAAATTCAGTGGGCATTTCTTTCTAAGTTTCCCAGAGACTGACTGGGGCACCAGCAGCATCAGAAGCAGAAGCAGGAGGTCCATAATTCAGGGGGTTGAATCAATCTCCTTCCTGTTTCTATAGAAGAATTGGAAGAATTGGAAGCAGTCACACAGGATGGATTATCCTAATGCATTTCCTGATTTAAACAGACAAACCAAGATTAACCTGGAAGAGCGAGAAAGTACATTGAAGATCAGAGCTTCTGTCTGTTATGTAACTCGAGCAACAAGAAGTATAACCTGTGGCATTTATCCTTTTCTAATGCAAGATCCCTTCCATGTCACTTCAATGGGATGTTTGCATCAAAGGGAGTCACTGGAGAAGGAGAAGGAGAGCTCTCAAGGCCTGTGACGTGATAATGGAACTTGTCCTTTTGAGATCTTGAACCTCTTCCATCTGACGAGGGGCAGGTGGAGAAAGAATAATAGTGAAAAATAACAGCTAAACCCCTTGAGGCAGTGTTGTGTAGTGCTCATAGTCCTGTTAGGACATGTCCTGAAAATGATGCTGGAGAAAGATACAGTACCTCATCAGTCAGAAAAATGACTTCTGCTGTCCTTCAATGTGGTCCTATGCTTCCAACGACTGCTAAGGAGTTGGTACAGTGGTGGGATTCAAATAATTTAACAACCAGTTCTCTGTCCTAATGACCAGGTGGGTAGGTGTGGCTCGGTCTTCATGTGACTGTGTGGGCATGGCCAACTCAACACCACTCAGGTCAATGGGTGCTTCACCTCAGCTGTTACAAAGTAATAAGGGCTAATTGGAGAAGCAGTTTCTGTAAGCAGAGCAATTCAGATTAGGCTAGAAACAACACAAAAATGTTTCCTTCCTGCCTTCCTTACAGGATTAGCCATGGAAAGTGCGAAAAAAAACAAAAGGAGATTTCTTCCAACAACCAGTTCTATAAACTGCCTAGAAAGTTTATCTCCCGAATAGGTGCGAACTGGCTGAATCCCACCATTGAGTTGGTACCACTCTACATTGGTGACACTGAACTCTAATGCTGCCTGTGCTCTAACACCATGGAAGCATTCATTATTCTTGAACACAACTTAATGTTAGAGTTTGGGATTTTCTTTTCAATGGGATTTTCTTTTCATTGGGATTTTCTTTTCAATGGGATTTCCATATATTCATCCCAAATTGGAGATGGTTTTTGAATTCCTTATAACTGAAGAAAAATGTGCTTTGCCATTTTTCCTAGAATTATCCATTTTTTTCATGAGACCATACAAAGTGATGCCCTGCTGATTCCATCATTGGCTGATAGAGACATAATTATAGAATAATGGATAGAATATTTTGTTTCAGTCTCATTTTCACTTTCTGAGTTGTCTCTTCTAAACTGAGAGCTTTAAATTTGGAATTCATGCTATAGAATAGAATAGAATAGAATAGAATAGAATAGAATAGAATTGATTAGGGTAGAGTAGGGTAGGGTGGAGTAGAGTAGAGTAGANGGAAGGATGGAAGGCTGAGTCAACCTTGAGCCGGTGAGATTAGAACCGCTGAACTGCAGATAACAGTCAGCTGAAGTGGCCTGCAGTACTGCACCCTCTCCTACATTCTCTGTACTCAAGTACTCTCCTACATTCCTGTACTCAAGGTGCCAAAAATCACACAGAGACACTCTGGGCTGGAACAAGACTCAAAGAGGTGGGACCCATTCTGGCTAAGCCTTTCAAAATGAATATTCATGGAGAATCTCAATTTATGGTCCTCCCTAAAGTTTGTCCCTTTCTCCTGCTGTCACCCACCTTCCATGGTGGAGATAGATCCTTCTCCACAAGGACGACAATTGTAGCAGCAGATGGGCTTCCCTTCCTGAGCCACCTTCATGAATCCAGGAGGACAGCTTTCCCCACACCTGGAAGTGGGGAAGGGCTGGGCAGAAAGAGGTGGGGAAATAACACCCACAACATGAATTATTTTATTTCCTAAAATAGGTAAAAGGAAAAGTTTGGGGATCTCCAAATCAAGGTATAGCTTTGCTAAATACAAAACCTACAAAAAAAAATATGGAGATCTTCAAATTGATTTGGTGGCTTGTTGTTTGCCTATTTATCTTCTCTTCTAAGTTTTCTCCAATTGTAATTTTATTTTAAATTGTCAATGTAACCACTTCAAATAAAATTGAATGGATTTCTGCTTTGACAAAAATCAATCACTTTGGCCAATGATATAAATCCTTGTAGAACTTTGATAAACAGTTAACTGGAATAGTTAAGAATATTTTTCTCAAAGACACCTGAACATCTAATGGGAAGATGTTTCCTCTCTGGGAGAAAAGGACCTAATGTACTGTAACAATGAAGCTGTTAAGGTCAACCTCTTCAATATGTTTTTCAGCTCAGTCTTTGTCAACAGCAATGGCTGCTACTCAACATCCCCTAATAGTACCACAACCAATTGTAATGATTTACTATATATTGATTTTACAGTAGATAATATAAAAATGGCACTACGTAACCTAAAGCCATCTCTATCTATTGGCCCTGATGGATTATGTGCCTACTTCTTTTTTTAAAAATGCCACTTCAATGGTTCCAAACTCAATTGCAGAAAATATGACTTCAGAAACAGTGGTCAACACCTGGAACGAACTACCTGACTGTTGTTTCATCATCAAACCTTCATAACCTTAACTTTAACTGTCTACCATGGACCCCACCCCATTTCTAAGAGTTCTGTAAAGGGGGCGTGCATAAGTGCACCAGTGTGCCAACCATCCCTGTCCTGCTGTCCCCACTTATTTGTATTCATTCCTTTCGTTCATGTCCATGTTTATATTTATACCTGCTATATTGTACATGTTTGACAAACTAATGAATAGAAATACATAGTTCTGGAATCCTGTTGGGAAGACATTCATAAAAAGCAGAATAATGTGTTTTCCCCACCTTGGTCATCATTTCCATCTTTGCAATAGCATTCTGGTTCATCATGAACTTGAAATCCAAGGATCCCACTCTTTCCAGGCTCCCAAGTGTCCCTTTGATAAAAGAAAGATTGGAGAAAACCACTGTGTTCATAATGCCAAGATCAGCTACCAGCTCTCCAGTCTCATCCAAATATACCCCATCGATGGAATTATTATAAAACTGAGCGGTTCGAAGGAAAGGATGAAGCTGGAATGGAAAACAGGCAATGTTACACAGGACACAGAAACTCTTTGGTAAGACTCTTCCTTTTGAGCTGGAAGGAAGGATCCGTACTGAGGAATATAGAATATTGTTAGAAGGTTCAAGAATGATATGCAAAATAAGAGTGAAGGATGTTCTTTATCTCTTCCATTCACAGTTGTCACTGCAAAGATTGGAAAGCCAATGGGAAGTATGGGCAATGGGTAGATAGGAAGAGAAACATCTTTGCTTATTTTGAGGATGGCTTCATGAAACTCTGCATTCAGGTGAAAATGGTATCAACCCTGGAGCCATCTTGGAATGTCTTCAGGGTTGCCACAGTGAGGCTAAAGTGAGCTGTGTGAAAGGGAGTGGGAGTAGAGATAATTGGGGGAATATGTAGCCAAAATAACATTCTTTCTTCTGGGAACCAAGGACACTCTCACCAACACCTGGATGGGTGTGGGTGGGAGGCATCTAGATTTTGGAGGGTGACCTGATTGGGGCATGTGATTATTGTGTTTAATGGAGGGAAGAATTTTGGATTTGGAACTGGGTGGGGAAAACCCTAGTTACTTCAGAGTTGGGTTTTCACCAGCTGTGCCAATATGACATGCCTAATAAATCTATACTTTGAGGAACCCTAACTTGGAGTTTTGATTTCATCTGAGCTGTTACTTGGAACCCTGACAAAATGGGTCACTTGGTGTGGAGAAGAGACCCCAAATTGTCCCTTTGAAATATGATCTCTTGTATCAGTTGAGGTCATCTCCTTCCCATTTTATGGAACCCCTATGAAATATTAAATGGAACTTTCTTCACTCTTGGGACTTCTAGACTTTTTCCCAGTCCAAAATCTTCATCTTCTCACTGGACCTTAGCTTCCTGGCTCAAAGAGGCTTTTCCATATGCTGCTGCTTGATGAGATTCTTTGTTATCTGTGATCCTACTGAGTTTTAATCCAGGGTGGTGGGGGTAGGAGGAATCAAAGAAATTCTTAGCCAAAGAATAAGATCCACTTCGGGTAAAGGGTGATCTGGAATAGAAGGGCAGGCCAGGAAGTGAGATGGTCAGAGATGTTGGACAAAAGACACTTTTTAGACTTTGTATCACATGATAATGATCCTCCTTGTAAAAACAGAGTCAAAGAAGAAAAAGGCGAAGGGGAAAAAATATTTACCCAGAAGTTTTTAAAGAAACCCTAGATGAATTCAAATCACCAGGACCAAATGCATTACACCCTAAGTTCTGAAGGAATTGGCAGATGTGAGCTCAGAACCTTTGAACCATATCTTTCAAAGATCATGGAGCACCTGGGAACTGAGTTGATATAGTTCCCATCTTCAAAAAAAAGGGGGGGATAGATCCAGGAAACTGCAGACCTATCAGCCTCACCTCAATACCAGGGAAGAGTCTGGAAAAAATATTCAAGAAATGAATCAGCAAACACCTTGAAGCAAACAAAGTATAAACCAAAAGCCAATATGGGTTTGTCAAAAACAGATCATGCCAAACAAATCTTATTGCATTCTTTGACAAAGTGACAAAATTAGTGGACCAGAAGAATGCTGTGGAATTAGTTTACTTGAACTTCAGTAAGGCATTTGATAAAGTAGACTATAACCTACTGTAGGAAGTTATCACCCAGCCCTCTTCCAGAAAAATGAAATATCCTAGGAAATTTTGAAAAGGCAGAATATTTATCTGGATGTGAAAAGGAAGAAACACGTTTTATAAAGACAGAATAGCTCCATGCTGCTTCCTGCCTCCACCCACTTTGTCAATGGGCCATTAAGAAGGCCAAGCCAGTCCCTTTACATAATAAAGAGTTCTCCTCTTCAGCTCCAGGGGGATGGGATTAAGGCATGATAATATTGGCCCTTTACCCAACTCCCCACATGGCATCTGAGAACTCAGTCAAACCTGGATTCAAAACACAGCCTAGAGAGTTGCCCCTGCATGGCCCAAGGGAGTCTGACAACCAATCAGAATACAAGTGCAAGATCAAAGGCCAGAAAGGGCATAAAACCAGGGACTCAGCTTTTCTTCCTTTTTTCTCTTTTTCTCCACCAACATTGAATCGTGTGATCACCTTTTCTGTTCAGGGCTCAAGCCATGTGGTCCTGTCCACCATTAAAACCATCTTTCTAAGCAACCTCCATGTCTCCAGTGTCTTTTTCCCCACTTGGAGCTGAACCCAGAAGGATATTTCTTTCATCAGAAGAAAACAGCATCCATGAAAATCATAGCTGTCCTTCCTGTTACTTTGTTTTCTAATTAGATTCTATGCTTCTTCCATTGACAGCCCAGATTATGGATCTCAT